TTCATATAACAATATCCTACTTGATTTATCCCTGCAATATGCCCCATATCTGCTGACTTTTTATAATATTTGAATGCTTCATGTTCATTCTTTTCAGTTCCAATTCCGTTTTCATAACAACGTCCAACATTATATATTCCGTCAATTTGTTTCATGTCTGCAGATATTTGATAATATTTGAATGCCTTATTTATATTTCTTTCAATCCATATTCCATTTTCATAACAACGTCCAAGATTATATATACTATTTATATGTCCGATACTTGCAGATTTTTGATAACATTCGAATGCCCTCTTTGTAACTTTTTCAACTCCTATTCCATTTTCATAACAATATCCTACTTGATTTATTCCATCAGCATGTCCCATATCTGCAGATTTTTGATAATATTTGAATGCCTCATGTTCATTCTTTTCAGTTCCAATTCCGTTCTGGTAACAACGTCCAACATTATATATTCCATCTAGTTGTACCTTAAATGCAGATTTTTGATAATATTCGAATGCCTTCCTTATATCTTTTTCAACTCCTATTCCATTTTCATAACAACGTCCAACATTATATATGCCATCTACATGTCCCATAAATGCAGATTTTTGATAATATTTAAACGCCTCCTTTTTATCTTTTTCAACACCTATTCCGTATTGATAACAACGCACAACGTTATATATTCCATCTGTATGTCCCATATCTGCAGACTTTCGATAATATTCGAAAGATTTCATTATATCCTTTTCAACTCCTATTCCATTTTCATAGCAACGTCCAACATTATATATTCCATCAGCATGTCCCATATATGCATATTTTTGATAATATTCGGATGCATTCTTTAAATCCTTTTCAACTCCTATTCCGTGATGGTAACAACGTCCAGCATTATATATTCCATCTGTATACCCCATATGTGCAGATTTTAAATAATATTTGAATGCTTTCTTTATATCCTTTTCAACTCCTATACCATTTTCATAACAACGTCCAAGATTATATGTTCCATCAGGTTGTTCCATATTTGTCGATTTTTGATAATATTCGAATGCATTCTTTATATCTTTTTCAACACCTATTCCATTTTCATAGCAACGTCCAATATTATATGTTCCATTTGCATTTCCGATACTATCATGTTTTTGATAATAAATGTATGCCTCATGCTCATCTTTTTTAACTCCAATTCCATTTATATAGCAATATCCTACTTGATTTATTCCATCAGCATGCCCCATGTCAGCTGATTTTTGATAATTTTCGAATGCCTTCTTTGTATCTTTTTCAACACCTATTCCATTTTCATAGCAACGTCCAAGATTATATGTTCCAATTGCATTTCCGATATTATCATGTCTTTGATAATTAATGAATGCCATGTGTTCATCTTTTTGAACTCCAATCCCCTTTATATAACAATATCCTACTTGATTTATTCCATCAGCATGTCCGATATCTGCAGATTTTTGGTAATATTTGAATGCCTCATGTTCATTCTTTTCAGTTCCAATTCCGTTCAGATAACAACGTCCAACATTACATATTCCATCTGTATGTCCCATATATGCTGATTTTTGATAATATTCAAATGCTTTCTTTATATCTTTTTCAACTCCTATTCCGTTTTCATAACAACGTCCAACATTATATATACTATCTATATGTCCGATACTTGTAGATTTTTGATAAAATTTGAATGCCTTCCTTATATCTATTTCCATATTCATAACAACGGCCAATATCATGTATTCCATCTACATGTCCCATATATGCAGATTTTTGATAATATTCAAACGCCTTCTTTATATCTTTTTCAACTCCCATTCCGTATTGATAACAACGTCCAGCATTATATATTCCATCTTTATGCCCCATATCTGCAGATTTTAAATAATATTTGAATGCTTTCTTTATATCCTTTTCAACTCCTATTCCATTTTCATAACAACGTCCAAGATTATATGTTCCATCAGCTTGTTCCATGTCTGTTGATTTTTTATAATATTTAAATGCCTTCTTTATATCTTTTTCAACACCTATTCCATTTTCATAGCAACGTCCAAGATTATATGTTCCAATTGCATTTCCGTCACCGTCATATTTTTGATAATAAATGAACGCCTTGTGTTCATCTTTTTGAACTCCAATCCCCTTTATATAACAATATCCTACTTGATTTATTCCATCAGCATGCCCCATATCTGCAGATTTTTGATAATATTTGAATGCCTCATGTTCATTCTTTTCAATTCCAACTCCGTTCTGATAACAACGTCCAACATTATATATTCCATCTATATGTCCAATACTTGCAGATTTTTGATAATATTCGAATGCTTTTTTTATATCTTTTTCAACCCCTATTCCATTTTCATAACTATGTCCTTCCCAAATATCATTGCTTAATTTTAACTTCTTACAAATATCATTGCATTTATGTTTTGCCAAAAAACATTTTCGAATTCCTATATTTCCCAAGTTTGTATTTCCAAATCTTAACAAATCAATGCAATGTATAGCTGGATCTGTTAACAAGAATTCATCATGGAGTTCGACACCCTGTAAGTCATAAACTACCAAATACTCTTCACTATATTGATACGTGAAATGAGCAAATGCCTCGAGAATGGAATGAAATTCTGTAATTAGACCACTATTCACGTTAAACTTTTTAAATTCTGCATTATCAATATATTTTTCTACTGAATAATAAGTATTATCTGTTTTATCGTGTAAGGCTTTTGCATCAATAAATGTAATTTTCTTATTAACACCAACTCGTTTTGTGGTTATATTGAATTCTGTTGAAAAAAAGTGAGCAACATTAAAGATTTCTACTGATTCTGAATACTTTTTTAATGTGCCTATTTCAATATTGTGGTACTTTTTTACTACCAATTTATTGGCTTGTTTAAGGCTTGTATCAAGTGCGAAATAAGCATATCTTTCAGCACCGATAGAGAATGGCCGCGGTGCAAGTTTAAAAAATATGTCTTGTTCAATAAACCTTAAATTAGTAAAATAGTTTTCATCTTTAATTTCAGCCAGAGTTTTAGGTGGAATATAACATAAAAGTTTTCCTGTTTTCTCTGGATGAGTAGTCCAATCAGGTTCATTTGGATTGATTTGAAGCTTTTTTCGTTGCAAAGAGTATATACTGCTCTTTGAGCTTCTTAAAGATGTAGTTAGTGTAATAGAAGAAAAGATAGCTGAAGAAGTAACCTTGCAAAATTTATTGACTAATGCTTCAGGATTATCTCCAGTAGTCATAAGATCAAATACAGGAAACTTTCCAATTATTTCACGAAATACATTAAGCATAACATCAGTATCATTAGTAATTTTTCCAAAGTAGTATAAAATGTTTTTTAATCGCATTTTCTTTAGCACACTTTCTGCAGTTAGACCATTCGGGTCACCGTCTGGATAATTGTCATCAAAGTTGATAAAACGACGGCCATGTGGTGGTGCATCGCCGATATGAATAAGAACACGAGTGGCATTGCTCCATGACATGTGAGTTATTGCAGCATTAAGACCGCCTAAGACATCTTCTGGTACATAACCCCCACCTTTAGCCTTCACTTTATTGGTTATATACGTTTGAAATTTTTCGATTGAATTAGTAAAATCAAAAATTTGTAAGCGATCATCAATGTGATCACGATAACCACAGAAACCAACCCAGAATTCTATATCTGGATTATTGATGTCAATGTAACTAGCAACTTTTACTATATGCTCTTTCGCTGCTTCGATATACTGAGACATAGATCCTGTACAATCTAGAACGAAGCAAAGATCAATGTTCATTGAATCTTCAATATCAATGATTGCCTTAGATACATCATTTTCTCTGTTTTTCCGTCTACTAATTTGACCTGCTTGATCCATATTACCTATTAGCAATTTCAAATAGTATAAACATTAGAATTGTTTGCGTCTCTTATTTTTGATCTTTTTTGTCAGAGATGATTATATCAGGAACAGCGTACAAAGTATGGAGAGCATGGTCTACTGCACAAACTTAATTTTAGCAAGTAATCGTAACAAAGTGGCATATGCGTTGGTGTGACATTTAAGCATATTACACAAAAATAGTCTACTGTACAAAGATTTTTCCTAAAATTCACAATTCCTATATCAAGTCCTAATTCGTTTTGTATGCATTCATTTATTTGCGTGAGTAGTACAACAGATGTAGCAAATATGTGAGTGCAACATTTAACCACATACACAAAAACAGTAAAAATCTATAATGCCCATTACCCTAACTCTAGCCCAACGTCTTGTAGTTCTCGTGTGAATAAGTAAAATAGTAAGGGGATGATGGTAATCATTTTTGTTTATATTTTGCATTACTCGTTAAAATAAGTAAAACCACACGTGTTCGTACCAGGTACGTATGGCTTTACTTATTAGTGCTGCTAATATAAACTTTTAAAATAAAACAGCCAATAACAGATAAGCAAATCGAAGACCTAGTAATAAGTTCAAAAGTTGTTTAAAATTTCTAGTGATAATTTCTCAATAACTATTTCATCAAATTCAGTAGTATATTTATATATTAATTCTATAGGTTGTGAATAAATAAAAAAAAAAATCATTAAATTGTTATCGAGAAAAATAATTATTAAAAGTTTTTTTTAATAAAAAATTCTTTCTTTGAACTTTAAAAAAATTTCAGCTATCTGAATTTATAAAAGTTTTTAATCTAATTCTACAAATCTATAGAATTAAAATAAAAAGCTTTAAATATTGAGAAATCATCGCTAGAAATTTTAAAAAAGCTTTCGAATTTATTAATATATAGGATCTATTTGTTTCCTTTAAGGAAAATAAGCAAAGTCCCGACGTATGTACTCACGCCCTCTTTTGTGATACCAAAGTACAATAAAAAACAAAGTCCAAATCAGAAATTTAACAAAAAGTGATTCACAAGCTTATACGTACATAATTGTAAGTTGTGTTCATTATTGCGTTGCGTTATTTATTTTGCTAATATGAATAATTTGTTGTGTCAAAAAGCAAATAGTATTTAAATATTGCAAGAAATAACAAAAAACCTGAGTATTAAAATTATTGTCGGTTATTTCATTAAAGCTAATTATATAAGTTTTAATAACGATAAAAGATTAATAAAAATGCAATATATTATTAATAGGAAGCGCTGGCAAAGGAAAGTCTACTTTAGCAAACGTTTTAACTGGAGTTGATGAATTTGAAGAAAGCACAAAACGCATTCATGGAACTGCCGAAGAATTTGAATACGAAGGAATGAATTATCGTGTTATTGATACAGTAGGAATTGGTGACTCTGCCGTGACAAAAGGAGAAATATTAAGTTAATTAGAATATAAAGCTGATATTATTAGTGTTTAAATCAAATATTAATTTGACTAATGGCCGTTTTACTCAGGAGGAAATTGAAGCTTTCAATTTACGAGAAAAGCTATTTTTGATGATCATGTAATAGATTATACTACTATTGCTTGTACTAACTTTCCTGATTTCGAAGATCATGATGCTTGTGAATGAAATCGTAAAATAATTCGTGTGGAAACTGGGAAATTTTCCAAGAAGCTTACTCGTACAGTGATTATTACGTAGGTAATCCACCGTTATCAATCATTTTCAAAAGAATCAGAAATTGTTGTAAAATATAAAGAAGAGGTAAAGTCAGGAATATAGTTTCCTCCTGGTTTGGTTATAGCGACTATTGGTTCAACGGTTGGTTCAGTTCCTGATTCTATCACAGTTATGAAGAAAAATTAAGCATATCAAATATTTAAAAATACTTTTCTGATAACCAAAATGTTAGAAAATTCATAATAAAGTTAAGGAAAGCTGTTAAAAAATTCAAAGAAATTCATTCCTACTTCGAAAATTTAGAATGAAGAACAGATTGTAGATAGAAAAAAAAATAGAAATAATTAAGAATGTGTCGAAAAAAATTTTGAGAAGAAATTGATACTGATTTGGGTTTAGAAACAGATGAAAAAATTGAAAATTCTTCAGGTCAAAAGGCAATAAGAACCCGCTGCAGAGTTTTTTTGCAATCTTGTGCTTCCTCCTTTACCTTCTATTCTTATTTATCGAGATCATCATGATCCGTACGTCCTTGCAAGATATGGAGAAGGCAATTAAAAATTGGATAGGGGATTCGACAATTTTAAAGGAAAAAGAACTATTACTAAATACGTAATATGAAAATACTAGCTGGTATAAACGAAACGTAAGTGCCTTTGTTTATGCTTTATATAGTTGCATGGTACTAAATTAAAAATTTAATCCAAACAACACAAAATTTTTAGATAAAAAGATTAATGCGACACAGGACATGAAATCTGTAAAATATGCTTAGGGAAAACGAAGAGCATTGCACGGAATTGTCTATTCATGTATGGCTTGTATCTTGGAACATTGTTATTTTTATATTTTTCGGAATCTTTTATAAATGTTGCTATTGGCTTGTATTTAGTAGTAATGCCGACTATACTCGTGATAAATCTTGATAAAAATAAACTATTCACGTGATAGATTAATACTATGTATTTATATTTTGAGGCCCATCAAAATATAAACTGATAAACGATTTATACTTGCGATAAAACAAAGAAAATTTATTTGAGCATATTTTACAATGAAATAAAAAATTGAAAAGTTTATTTACAATGAATAAGAATGCCAATATACGAAATAATTGGTTTCAGAATTAATGATTCGACACCAATTTCAGATAAGTGATTTATTATTTCAAAAGAAGCGACGTACAAATTCTATTTTTTAAAGTACATACTTATTTACATAATCTGTGAATGTTTATTAAAAAAGCTAATTTTATCACCGGCTACGCCTATATAATTTTCTGATTCGGAATTAAACTCCCACTTATTTTTGAATACTGAAATAAGTAAAGAATTGTTAATTGTTTTGATGTTCTATTTATAATACAGTGGTTTGTCTTTTACTGATTTGATAATAGCAATTGTTTAATTTTAATAATATTTATAACTACAGTTATCTTTTTTATTTTACCAATTTTAACTACGTTATATGATGTAAAACGTTTAGTCGTCATCACTAGTATTTAGCTAGTATCTTTGTTATGTTTGTATTTCTGCTGTTTTTGGCCTTCAAAAATTTCGAATGAATGTACAGTACATAAGAACCAATAAATGCATTGCTGCTCGAGCGGTATTACAATAACATGTATAGTATAGTTGGTTAAAGGTGTATAGTATATAGTATACTACAATAAGTATAATACTAAATTTATACATTATACATTTTGTAATAAAACTAATTTATACATTATACATTTTGTAATAAAACTAATAAAAAAATTATACATTAAGTATAAAGTAGAATAAAAAATTTATACATTTAGTATAGAGTGTTATACCCGAAAAAAAAAAAATTAGTTGTATTACGTATTTAGTTGAATTGGCCTTTAATATCCAAAGAAGGTATGTGCAGATGAATTTGATGTCTCATGTGACCTTTAGAACAGTGTCAGAATAGATAATCATAAGTTGGAACTGAGTTAAAAGTGTAATTAATTAAGGATATTAGTAATTCAGAAGTGTAGGTGTGATAATTGATCATAATTTACATAAAAGTAGTAAAATATAAATATAAGTAAAAAACATTGATTTTTAAATGAATAAATAATAAAATAGTCTTTTGTCGTATCTAAAGTTACCATCTATCTGAAGTTGCAACTTTAGATATATAAAGTTGACCTGACTAAAATCAAGCCCATGAAATTAGATCTTCATACATATAATTCTGGTTAGATGCAACTTATATATCTAAAGTTGCAACTTCAGATAGATAGTAACTTTAGATACGACATTTTGTCATGAATAAATACCTAAATTTTAGTAAATTATATTATTTAAATAAAGTAAAAGTATTTTAATTGAATATCCGCATAACTTAAAGTTCAAATGCGAAGCTCTATAAACTAAGCTAGATAATACCTTTTTCTAATTAACCCAAATACTAGTTTGAACCAACTCAATCAAAATTTCAATTATCTATTAATACAAATAAATTGCTTCTGAATAGGTAAATAATTACAGTCCTTTGTATTGCCTCATTCTCTCATTAATTAATTATCCCATTATATTAAAATACATTAATAAATTAAATGTAATCTGTATAATCACATAATCAATACGATAGTGAATGACATCTTTGATTAGAAGTGCCAATACAAAATCGATATTAAATTAGTTCAAAAAATTAGGTTCAAAGTTTTATGTTCGCTAGACGAATTTGCTTATAATTACTAAATAGTGTAAAAATAAATTTTAATTATACTTAATGTATAATACTATGTATTAAAATTATACATCATGTAAATAAATTTTAAAAAAATACTACGTACCGTATAATTTAAACTTAAAAAACTATACATATTGTATATCTACTATACATACTGTATACCACACTATACCATACATATCTGATAAGTTATACTATACTGGTTTACTATATACTCCTGCTCGAGAGCCTAAACTATTCTATTAATGCATACTTAGGTAGATTTATTAGAAGTATTTTGTAAGAGAGATGTCATTGTTCAATTGTCTATCATATATCATTGAAGTCAGCGTGGGTATTTTGCGATTATTGAAAATTTATTGATTAATATAAAGAAAAAATTATTATAAGCGTATTCTAAATATTAAATGCTAGATTAACTAAATAAGCTAATGCAAGTAGGAAAAGTTTAAGCTTTCGTAATAACCACGTAAAACACGAATTATTATATATATATATGAGTACTAAAATCATTTTCAACAATGCAAAAATCTGGATGAGCTTTTTATAACTTAAACCAATATTATAATTTTTTGTACTGCTAATTTTTGGCTCAAATTTGATAATTTTTGTTTATTTTGAAAATTCTTGATAATTAATATTGAAAAATTGAGTTGAATAATTTTACAAAGATTGGATATCCTTTCTTATCTTGAATGATGCATGTGGTATTTTGCTTTACAACTACTTGTTTCAATAAAATATAACCCAATATGTAATAGTATATCCTGGGCAATTGGGTATAAGCGGGACTTTCAGCCCCGCTTATACACATAGTGCCCAGGGTATAACTGATTTATGCCTTGCGATCTTGATATAATGACCAGGGTATAAAATTCTATATTTGAAAATTCGATTACATTGAAGTGTTGGAACATTATAGTAAATTACTTTATAGTAAAATACTGTAGGCACTTGTTATAACAATTTTTTTAATCTATCAAAGCTTATTGTTCCTTCGTATGATGCCGGCTTTTAACATCTGATAAAGAGTCCACAGGTTCGGTAATTAATGAAAAAAAAACCTATTTAACGAAATCATTTCTTATTATCGTATCTGGAACGAAAAGGAGGACTTATGATGGATCATATATAGTATAGGTGGGCAATATAGAATATTATAAGATTATAATATAAAAAAACTCTAACCCTAACTCTAACCTAACTTTAATTTAAACTATAACCCTCACCCTAACCCTAACTATTACCAAATTTGCTTAAATTAGGTCAAATGATTATTTTTATATATTATAATCTTATAATAATTCATTCTGCCCACCTATACTATAGATCAACCCTTATGATAATTGATAAATTATGTATGGATAAAATACATAAAGATGCCAATATACGCTGCTTGAATTATTACAAAATTACTAAAAAAATGCATTCATGACGAAACAAGACCAACAGAAAAAAATTTTATTAAAAAACCTCCAATAAACCTATAAACTTCAATAATTTATTAGATAAAAAATGGTTGACCACAGTATATAATTAGCTCAAATTTTACTGGTGGTGAGTCAATTATCACATTGTTTTAAGAGTTCTAATCGTGCTGGATTACTTTTTAATTTATAAAAATAATGAAAAGACATTGATATAGATAAAAATTTCATGTCAACACACTTATTATCAGAAAAAATCTGGTAGAGCTATACCTTGCAAAATACATTGGATTTAATATACATAGGTTGGACAACTATTTGACTACTTGTTGAATGTTTTATTCTTTTTTAATGTTTGGATTACTTTATATTCGCCATTAAAAACCTATTATGTGAAATTCTAATTCTTATTCATATGAACTACGTGCACAATAACAGTTGCTATTTTGATTGAAAATTCCTTTCATACAAAGATTATAACCCATTGGACTATAGTTGGTTCTCAAAAAAGGAAATTTTCAATAATGGAAGTGATAAGCAATTATTGTTGAAATTTTGAATTCTATCACCAACTATACACTGGAACACAGGAATAATGTCAATAAATTGAGTATCTTGTTTTATATGACTTAAAATGGGGGATTGAGCAATACCAATTTTAAACTAATGTTGCATTTTATATAACCATTTGATTTAATCCGCTCAATAGGATCATATGCTTAAAGAATTGACAATATCTTCAATATTGCTCTTTTTTAAAGTTGATTTCAACTAGTTAGGAAGATTTTAAATAATTTAAATAAGAATGTTTTATAAACAAATGGTTATGCTATATGTACCAAGCACTCTTAAATAGAGTTATAGAAATAAAAATAAAATAAATTTTAGTAAAAAGTCTTAATACTAAATAGATATCTCTTTACTTGCCTCGCAATATTATTATTCTTCATACTTGTCATCACAAATTTTAACCCAACAAGACACAATCCCTTCATTTTGTAATTCATTCTTTAATTTCTCTACATTAATCATAATATTTTTATCATTTTCATCTTCCCATAAAACCAACAATAGCACCACCTGATCTCGTAAATTTGGCAGCAAACCCATATTTCTTGCCTAATTCAATCATTTTTAAATTATTCTTTCCAAGTGTTCTATTTCTATAAATTTCTTGCCTCAAATTAAAATTCATATTCATTAACTTGGCTAATTTTACATGCTTCGTTGCTTGCTGGATCAAAGAATCAAGCAAAAGGTAATAAGTTTGTTCAGCAAAGGATCAAATTGGATCATGGCATCAGCTATCTAAATTATATAAATATTATGATTACCGATATCAAGATTGCAGATTTTACATTAACATGTAATGATGGATACCTTTTTATCCCCTTCTTCAAATCTTTTTCTCACATCATTATGAATTTTACTTAAAAATCTGAATCATAAGCAATATAAAAATAATAATTATTCACAAAGAAAATAAAACAAACCAGAATCGCTAGAATTCCCTTCATAAACAATCCACAATCCTTTAGGTATTAATTCACTTGGCACTCTTATATATCTTCCAATTCCATCATTCCTCTACATAAATTCTTTTTCAAAATCCATATACATAACACCTCCAAAACTTTGTATAACTATATATTGTAACCCGCACTAATTCCTAATTCAATAAGCTCTACATCAAGTATCAACTTTGCTTGCATTGCTAGTGAAATGTTATCATTCCCAATCCTATAAAATTTCATCAAATGCTTTCCATAAAGCAGTGATTATGGCAGAAGATCCTGATAGTCCAACTTGTCGTGGTATATTTATTTCATAAAATAATCTAAAGCTTTGTTTATTAAGTAATAGATTATTATTTTTCCAATATACAAAGAATACTTTGCAGGTTGGTTGGAATAATCTATTAGCATTCGTATAACCTTCTATGAATGATAATATTGATAAAAATTCAATCGATTGGAATAAAAATGTAGTGGTCATTATAGAATGAAAAAATTCGATTTTGGAATATTCTTGTGCATGAGTAAATTTATTGGAAATTAGTGTAATTTCTGCAAAAAAATTAGAAATTAATAAAGAAATTGTTTTCCCATAAAAACCATCGGATGGGTTGCCCATTAAACCTATGCGAGCATATGAACGTGTTGTCATTGATGTTGATTGATGACTCAATGGAGGATCTTTTGGGATAATTATGGAATTGGCAAATAATGTTTTAAAGAAAGACAAATATTCTTTTAGAGTAAGAGATGTATCTTTCCATTTGAAAAGAGGTTGGTGTGAAATCATGATCATTTTGGTGTTTAGACTTTTATTCATCATGAATTGAATAAACCTTTCTATACAATCAAGAGAATTATTGGCATTTATCGTTTCTTTATTTTTTAGATATATATTCCTCAATTAAATATAATGCGTTGGAATGAAACATATTTGAGATCAGGTTTTCTGTATTGATGGTCCCATCTTGATAAGGTTCAGTAGTTGTATCAAGAAGATTTGGTGATATTATGTTATTTTAATTTTCTTTGATAATTCATCGCTGTTATTGAAAAATATAAACTTGACAAAATCATTATCAAATAGTAGCTCCCTTAGAGATGTGTTGTTAAAAGAATCGAATAACAATTCTGCTTGCACAACAATAATAGAATTTACAAAACCCTTGACACGTTTAACAAGTTCAATATCTGCAAACATATCTTGACTTTCATTTACAAATAATAATTAGTACTCAACGATTTTGAAAAGGTGGTTAGTATTGTCATTACAAATACTTAAAAAAAAATTGTATTTTAATTACATATTAACTTACCAATTTTCAAATAATGAATTTCCGTTACTAATAATATTAGATCTTGGAATATTATTCGAACTGACCCATCTTAAGTAACTTGAATAACTTTTTCAAACAAATCATCAACTTTTTATTAGATTTTAATCCAACATGCCTAAATATCGACTCATTTAAATATGTACTGCATTAGTCACAATGAAAACATCATCTTCAATTTGACTTCTCAAACTATCGTACCAAAAATTAATAGAAGGTTTTCCAGAGATTAGTAACAATGGTTTTGGAATCCCTCATAAGGTCATAATCTCAGGATCATTATATTCTTGCTGGTTTTGATTATATAGATGAGATGGTTTGCAAAAATAAATATGAAATATTTTTTACTAAATTAATCTTTTTTTAAAAAAGAATAAAAAAAAAAAGCTTAGGGAAACAAGTAAATATCTTAATCTCGTATTCAAGTTTTGTGGGCCGAGAAGTTGCAAGGATCACTAAGTTATGTGGGTTTGACATTTTATGGTTATTTTCGATGTTACTTTTTCATAGCACAATTTACATACGTATACTTGTTAATACGTAACATATGAAATTTTTTACGTGACACAGGGTCTTACATTGAGCTTTATCTTTTATACAATGCAATGTCTAATATGAGCCAACATTAATGAAACATTACATAGCCCTAAATAATTATTTAGATTTAAAAAAAAAAAATACTAATTCTATTATGGCGCAGTACCAATTGTGGTATTAACCATTAACCATTGCTGCCGCAACAAAATTGTCACTACAGGTTCTCGATTTAGATTGACTAACGGTAATGTATTTTAGAAACTATTAATTTATAAAAAATTAATCAATTTCTATGAAAATTTATAGTATGTAGAATTTATCACTACGAACACGTTACTTAATAAAGAACTAAGTCTCCCCAGTCACTTAATTATTTGAATTTGAACTACATCATGCATGAGCATTAGACTGCGTGAAAACTACTAATAAATATCGATATAGCAAAATGTTTAGATATTTGTAAATTTGTTTTTATTATATATGCAAAAAATCCAATGTACTATTTAATAAAAATAAGATTAAGTAATACTTAACAATAAACAACACTATTTAATAAAACATTACATAGAATAAAAACTTGTACTATGTAAAAAAAATCAAACCATAAATTTAATTACTGTCATTGAGTTTCAAATTTTGTAATCCACTGTCAAAACTTAAAATTGATTTAGTAAAGGAAATAAATTTGCTTCCACCACTAAACATGTCTGCGTATGATTTTTCGATATTTTCAAGAATTACTTTTGATGTTTTCAGTTCTGATAAAATATTTTTATCATTTTGCCATTTCATAAAAATTTCATGGAGTGTTCCGGCTGATGGTCTATTTTCAGGCTCTTTATCCCAACATTCTTTCATCAGATTTATATAACATCCTGGAGCTTTTTCGTTAATGGGTGGTCGTAAGTAATTGCAACATATTTTTATCTGAAGCTGTTGTTTACTAAATTTATGCTCGTAACTCACTGACATCCCATATAAGATTTCCCACATAATTATTCCAAATGAATAGATGTCCGATTTAGTAGTATACGGTTGACCCGTTAGAATTTCTGGGGCAACATATGGTAGAATTCCACAAATCCCATCTTTCTTTTGTTCAGAATCAGAACTTGACAGTCCCAGGTCAGAAATATATGCGCTACGTAAATTGTCATGTAAAATGTTTCCACTGTGCAGATCCCGATGAATATAACCTTGAGAATGGATTGCTTGAAGATTAGAAATAATTTCATTTAATAGCTTTAATTTATGTTCCCATTTCATTTGAGATACATCTTGAAGATTATCTTTTAAAGAACCTCTTGATGCATATTTTAAGACAAGGATATATTCTTTGGAGTCCGGGTGCTGTGTTATTCCATGACATTTTAGAAATGAAGAATTTTTATATCCAATTTTACTATATGCTTTAAACTAATCAATAAATTAATTAAATAAATTAGTCATATAATTGAATCGTTAAATACAGTAATAATAAAATCACCTCATTTATAAATTCATCGTAATTTGTTTTATGTAGTGATTTAAGGGCAACTTTCAATTTTACGAAATTGCCGCGAGACCACTCAGCACTATATACTGTCGAAAATCCACCTTTTCCAATTTTTATGATGTTCTTGAATTCACTGTATGATATCAATAATAGTTCATGATTTCTTTCATCGTTCAATATCTCTTTTAAATCATCATCACAATTATTTATCATAAATTTGTTTCGTCTCCTATTTATATAGATTAATAAACTTGTCAAATATAAACATATATTTATTTAGTCATCACTTACCAATAATTAGCTAGTGATAAATCTCTAGTTACTCCGGTTCCAAATAGATAACATAAACGTACATTATCTATTCCAGTGGCATTACCCATTTTTGCAGATTTCATGTACCAGTTAAATCCTATATTTGTATCTTTTTCTACACCAATTCCATTTTGATAACAGTAACCAACTTCATTTATTCCAAAGACATTACCCATATCAGCAGATTTTTTATA